GCTACACCGTGAACACTTTTGCAGGACCTTTCTGTTTAGCTCCATCCCATTTCCTTCACTTGATTAGTGTGTTCATCAGAGATCTTTCAGTTTCAAGCAACAGAAATGCACTCAAGCTAGTTTAGATGGACAAGAGGCATTTACTAGGAGCACACAGGTGTTTCACAGCCCTTGACTAGGGAGCCCGAGGAAGTGCTAGAGCCAAACATCAAAGACTGTCCAGCTGTGCACAGGTTCTCTCCTCATCTGTGCTTGTTTCATTCTCCCCTCTCTCTGCACACTGACTACTGGGGAAAATGGGGCCACTTCCAGCCAGCCTTTCTGCCCGCAGCCTGCATGCTCATTGAGAATTCTTGAAGTGTCCTTTTAGAAGTGGGAAGAAGGTGACAATTAGCCTTCCACTACTGGGACAGGGAACGGAGAGGACTCGGGAAAGAGATGGAGGGAAGGCATGGAACTGAGAAATATTTTGGAAGTAAATACTTATGACACTTGCAGCACCCGAAGCAAGAAAGTAAAACACACCTCCCTGTTTTTTACTTTTCTCATTTCTCTTTTTCTGCCTCAATATATCAAAATTAGCCAGCCGTTTTAAAATCTACTGGGGTTTAGAAGTAATTTATCTAGCACAAGTCCTATTGGGAAATGAGGAGGGTACAAACTCTAAACAAACAAACAAGTAAATGTCTGTCCTAGCACATCGGAATGTTAGTTGAGTACAATACCAAAGCCAAAGGTGTCATCTCACTGTCTGTCACCCTCTGGAGCACACCTGCCAGGACTGGAGAGTTCAGAAAAGTGGAGGAAGCTGATGAAGGTAACAGATTCCCTTACTCCCTCAAAGTAAAAACTGGAATCTCCCTCTTTTTTTCCCACACATGGAGCCTAGGGGTCTTAGGAATCTTTTATAAGTAGCATTACAGGTAGAGAGCCCAGCAAAATCAAAGTTTCATTGTGTTTCACCAGTTTAACAGTCCACAGAGAATCTTTTGAGTTCGAAGATGAGATTCAGGTTTTGTAAAAGGTTTACTGCCCAAATCCTCATGGAAAAGTACAAAAGGCCAGGAAGAACAGGTAAAGGCAGAACAAGGAAGAGAGTATTCTGTTTCCATGAGGCCATCCCAGCTTTCACCCTGCTTTGCAGAGACTCAGAATGTCAAATGTGAGATTAACACATTGGACCAGAGGCCGGAGGTCTCACATCACAGCTGCTGTCAATGATTCCTTTCGGCAGATTTGGGGGCCGGCCTTGAGCAAAATCAAACAGTAAAAGCCAGTTTAGCTCACTCATCCCACAGACGCCCCCATCATGCTAATGTTTCCCTTGCCTCTTGCAACTCCTTCCTACCCCTTCCCAAAACCTTCAAGAAACATTATAGTCATTAGCAATTTAGAGTGAATAGATGTTATCTCTTCAGAGGATATTTCCATTTCAACCTTATCCCTGGTTGGAGGTCCTCCAGACTGTTAAAAGAATTTTAAGAAGAGTAAGTATATTTAAGTATATGTAGCAGGGACTTCAATCAAGATGGCAGTGTAGGCAGACAGGTCTCGCCTCTTCGCACAACCACATCAAAATTACAACTAAAATATAGAACAAGAAATCACTCAGAACCATCAGAAATCAAGTTGAATGGAAGTCTGACAACTATGGAACTAAAGAAACCACATCCATCCAGACTGGCAGGACAGGCACAGACTTGGAACGAGTTAGTCCCATACCCACATGTGGTGGATAAAAATTTGAGAGGGATATGTTAGGAGCGAGGAGTCTCAGCCACACACCAGGCCCCCCAGCACCACACCAGGCCCCCGGCCCAGGGTTCCAGTGCCAGGAAGCTAAGTACCCATAACTTCTGGCTGCAAAAACCAGCTGAAGAAACTTCTGGAGCACCAAGCATTTCCTCTTAAAGAACTCACACATGGACTCACCTACTTAGACTCACTCCCTCTGAGCTCCAGCAGCAGGATAGCAGCTTGAAAGATACCAGTGGTACACAGGGAGAAACCGAAGTGTCTGGCATCAAGGCGAGCGGAGGCCATTATCCCTTTTCTAAACCCTCCTCTTACAAATCCAGTAAGCTGCTGCAGTACCGGAGACTCCATCAGCCTGGCTAACGCTGTTTGACCCACCTTGGAGACTCTGCCCAACCCAACTTAAGGGGTTCACCCAAGCTGCTTTTCCATATGAATAACTGGTTTTGGCTCCTGCTTATAACATCCTAAATCCTATCAAACAAACAACAGCTGGCTTCAATGAGCCCCAGGTCCGGCACTAGTAGCAGCCAGCTTAGATTCACAGCTTGGATGCTCCTGGGAATCTCCAAGCCCAACACAAGTAGCAGCCATCTCAGGTTACTTTATAGCTCAGGCAGAGTGTCCCAGGCAAAACACAGGTTGGGGCTGACCTTGGCCTGAACCATCTGGGAAACCCCAGGGTCAACACACCCACTGGACAACCACAAACCACTTGAGAGCACGACCAACCTGCTCCTGCACAGCTGATCCTCCACAGAGGGCAGACTTTGGTGGTCAGTGGTCACAGCTAGTCCTTGCAGCTGACAGGCCTGGGCAAATCGCTCCCATTGATCTGCCAACAGCAACCAAGACTCATCTACAAGAGGAGGGGGTTACTCAGCCCACATGAAGGGCACACATCAAGTACCCAGCTTGGGTGATAGGGGAAACTGTGCCACTGGACCCTACAGAACACCTACATTAGGCCAAGCTACCAAGACATGGCGTCAAAGCAACTCTACCTAATACATAGAAACAAACACAGTGAGGCTGCCAAAATGAGGAGACAAAGAAACATGGCCCAAATGAAAGAACAGATAAAAACTCGAGAAAAAGTGCTAAACAAAATGTAGGTAAACAATCTATCAGATGCAGAGTTCAAAACACTGGATATAAGGATGCTCAAGGAACTTATTGAGGATCTCAGCAGCATAAAAAAGATCCAGTCAGAAATAAAGGATACACTAATTGAAATAAAGAACAATTTACAGGGAAACAGTAGTACAGTGGATAAACTCAAGAACCAAATATGATTTGCAACATATGGAAGCAAAATAACAACCAATCAGAAGATCAAGAAGAAAAAGGAAACCAAAAAAAGGAGGATACTATGAGCAGCTTCTGGGACAACTTCAAGCTGTCCAACATTCACATGATAGGAATGCCATAGGAGAAGAGAAAGAGCAAGAAATTGGGAAATATTTGAAAAAAAATAATGAAGGAAAACTTCACTAATTTGCTTAAAGAAATAGACATGCAAGTCCAGGAAGCACAGAGAGTCCCAAACAAGATGGATGCAGAGGTCCCCTCCAAGACACATCATAATTAAAGTGCCAAAGGTGAAAGATAGAGAATCTTAAAAGCAGCAGGAGAAAAGCAGTTAGTTACCTACAGGGGAGTTCTCATAAACTGTCAGCTGTTTTCTCAAAAAAAACTTTGCATGCTAGAAGGGGTTGGCAAGAAATATTCAAAGTTATGAAAAGCAGGGACCTACAACCAAGATTGCTCCACCCAGCAAAGCTATCAGTTAGAATTGAAGGGCAGATAAAATGTTTCCCAGACAAGAAAAAACTGAAGGAGTTCATCATGACCAAACCATTATTATATGAAATAAATACATATCTATCAGCAATTGAATCTGAAAAACAAACTAAGCAAACCAGAAGAACAGAGACAGAATCAGGGATATGGAGAATGTTTTGATGGTTGCCAGATGGGAGGCAGGTGGGGGGAAATGGGTGAAGAGGTGAGGGGATTAAAAGTCCAAATAGGTAGTTACAGAATAGCCATGGGGATGTAAAGTACGGTATAGGAAATGGAGTAGCCAAAGAACTTGTACTCATGACCCGTGGACATGAACAATGGTGGAGAAATTGCCTGAAGGAGTGTGGGGTGCTGGGTGGAGAGGGAAAAGGGGGAAAATTCGGAACTGTAATAGCATAATGAATAAAATAAAATTTTTTAAAAAAAGAAAAGTCAAAGACTATGTTCTCAGAAAGGGAAATAGAAAAATAATGAATATGTAGCAATTCCTTCCTTTCCAAAATACTAGTCAGGCTCTGGTAAAATCAGTTTAGTTCTAGCTAAGGTTGCAATTCAGCCAGTGCACACTGGCCCTCTCTGTTACTACAATGTTAGTTCACCTTTATACCAGTTGGCCAATATCTAAGCCCACCTTCACCCTATGCCAGTGTCGCCTTTCCTTCTGCCCCACTCTGGGACCTTCTGAGCTCCCCAGGATCCAGAAACTAACGGGTCACCCTTGGTGCACTTGGCACCTCCTGGCCCCCTCTGTTCCCAAGTGTGGTCAGCATCCAGTCTGGCTAGTTATGGGCCGTGCCATTCTGGTTGTGAAATGTTTCAAATATCACTCCTGCTTCTGCCTCTTTAAATGCACATTTCACTGTTTACATTACAAAGTAAGGCACCTCCTTTTCCCCTCCTCCCAAATCAACAACTATTACACCAAGCTGAAATTTTTCCTAAAATCTATTCCCCTCAGTACCTTCAAACAAAGGTCGAAAAAAATAATTGCTGAATAGTAAACTCTGGGAAAATACAGGTAGGGGAAAAAAGAATATGACCAGCCCTGTGATTCTTAAACTTTATTATGCCTAAGAATCACCTGAAGAACATCTTTAAAATGCAGACTTCTAGGTTTCACCTTCAGAGATTTCGATTCTATAGATCTGGAGTGATTCAGGAATCTGTATTTTTAACTTGCATCCCAGGTAAAGCTGATAGACGTGGTCCCTGAATGGCACTTTAGAAATTGTGAACTCGACTGTTGCCGTGAATTATGTGCAGTTGCCATGAATAGGACATGTATTTTTTTGCCAGCAGCTTAGTTTACCAGTATTTTACGGGCATTCATTCACCTTACTTCAGTCCTACTTTAAGTACAGATGATGCATTGTCATTGGTTGGTGCTTCATTCTTCCTGATCTTCTATGAACACATTTTTTTTTGTTTTGCAATTTCAGAGTCTGTCATCCCAAGTAGTGGAACATTTCATGTAAAGCTCCCTAAGAAGCACAATGTGGAACTTGGAATAACCATAAGTTGTAAGTAGAAATGATTTCTTTAACATGTAGTATTTTAAAAATACATCAGAAAATTGTATTGACAAATGGTTCACAGGTATGGCAAATGTTTTTAAGTGTCACTTCCTAATTTCTATGTAATGATACAAAAATGTGAAGCCAGTCACACCTCTAGCACTTATATATAAGCTATGTTACTTAAATACTCTCTAATCTTATATTTCTTCATCTATAATATGGAAATGATACCTACAAAAAATAGAGTTATATTAAATAACATATTTACATACCTAGCATATTCCTTGGCAAGTAATAAGTACTCAATAAATGTGGCTCCTGCCACCCTACATGAATAATTAATTAAGCATATAAATGCATATAGATTCTCTACATTTCAATATATTATGGATTAAGTTTTCACAATAATCTATTTAGTTAATGAAAGTGACAATTATTTACATTTAAAACCATTTTTTTTTTTGGCCACAGTGCATCTAAATCTATTTTGCAAGACTGAAACAATGTCCTTACTTTAGTGACTTCCTGAATTCCTCCATGGTACAAGGTGTCTGGGTAACCAAACAAACCAAAACAAAAAACGTAAATGTGTTTAATTCCCTTCTTTCATCAGGCTCTAGATTTAGAACTGCTCTGGGTAAAACAACTTTGAAAATTTTAGCCCCAATGGAGTTGTATAGAATGGAAATTGAGGTTTTTGTGCTTTTAATATCCATAAACTAAGTTTATCCATAAATGGCCCCCAGAAAGTGAAGCAAATGATTAATGATTAATGCCTAAAGACCAAAGGAGACACGAAGGCAATGTCTGTAACTGAGTGGTGGTCCCTTCAAGAAAGAGTGATGAGGCTTCATAAAAGTGCCTCACTGCACTCTGTTGCATAGCATTTATGTCAGTGGTTATGGCAAAAATTAAGAGATCTTAACTGGGCAGTATAAAATGGGGACTGTCCAATTCAACATTGACCATATAAATTTAACACAGAAAATGAAATTTTATTTATAACTAATAAATCACATATACTAGTACAACACTAAAAACAGTGGAACTACAATACAAAAGTAAATGTTGAGAACAAGAAGCCATATGTATAAGAGAGAGCCTGTATGCCACACTCCCTCTCCGAAACCCCAGTGTGAGGAAACCTACTTACTGTGAGGAAAGTAGGGCTGAAGTGTTTGATGTGACCCTCTATACAGTAGCAGAAAGATGAAATGAGATTTTGGAGACTCCAGACCTAGTCTAAGTGCTACTAAAGTCGTTTATGCCTTTAATAGATTCACTTAACCTCTCAATTTGTTCATTATGAAGCAAAGATGGTATGCCATTATTTCTGTCAACAGCTGAGGATACTGAAATTAAGAAAGAACTGATAAGAACTTGCTGTTCTAAAAATATTTGGAGTTAAAGGTAGATTCTGCAACCTCCATGTAACTTTAAAGCTGCTCTCATTTATTCTATTTATTCCATTCTATTCAATTATTTCATCAGAATTGGCTGTGACAGTGGTCACTCTTGCAGTTGTGGAGTGCATACCCTGCAGCATGTAGAGGCCCTGCCTTCCTTCCTCTCCATTCTCTTTTCCTTTTGTCTTCATTGTGAGTGTTCACCATGCCTAGGCCATTGGCAAACACACTACCAGCCTGAGAAATGCTTGCTGCTAGTGTACATATTAAAGACACCTCTTCAGAAGTTTCTCTTGCTACACATTTTGCCACAGAGTTATTTTACTCTCAAATTTTAATGAGAGAAAAGATTTATTTGTGTTTTTATACAATAGATTTATTCTTAAAATTGATATATTTAAAATATAATTTAACTATAGAATATTCATTTGAAAACTTCTATTCATGTGATATATTACTTTTTTAAAGTTGATATTTATATGTTCAGTTAGTTTAAGGTGTAGTCATGTACACACAACTAGAAATATTTTAATCACATGAAGAACTACTTAAAATCATGCTATATGATGGTGTTACATATGTACTATTACTTTTAAAACTGATTTTAATACCAATAATGGAAACTATCCAACTCATGCACCACAAGAATGGCCTGAATTTAGCCAGCAACAAGCTAAAGTAACTCGTGGATGTGGCAGGTATGATGCTCTTCCTGGATGGAGAAAAGAAGCTTGTCTCACATGCTTGTCAGCCCTTCTGGAGCTACAGTACCATTTACATGACTAATCATCACCATACTGAGTTTGCATCTCCTTGTGGAAAATGCTCATATTTTGCCAGCTGAGAAAGCAGAATTTGCTAAAAGAAAAAAAAAAGAAAAGCCAGAGTCCACTTTCATTGTTGCAAAATAGTGAAGTCCTGAGACCTAGCACAGATCCTGTCATATACAAGGTGCTTATTTAATTTGTATTTATTGGATGATCTAGGATGGTGGATAAGTAAATGGAAGCTACACTAACCTCCTCCCAGGACCAACCTGGAATTACAACTAAATTGTAGAGAAATCATCCTGACTAACCAACTGAACACTAGCTGGAGAGAAGCCTTATAACCAAGGACAGACAGGAGAAACCACTTCACCACAGCAAGACTGGTAGGGAGTGCAGAGGAGGTGCGAGAGGGCTGGCTGGGCTCACTCAGACAGCAACTGAAGTTATACTGGGATATTTAAGCAGCTGGAGGGTTCCCCCTGAGAAGAGTGGAGCCTAAGCCCCAAGCTGGCCTCCTGAGACTATAGCACCAGAGCCAAAAAGGAACCCAGATGGCATCCAGCTGTGAAAAGCAGCCGGGTTTCTGTCTGCCAGAGAGAGACAGCCGGAGACACAGGGAGCCTCTCCTCTTAAAGGGTCAATGCACAAAGTTTCATTTGTAGCCACTTACCCTGGGCTCCAGCAGAGGGAGGGCAGAGTGGACTAGAGATGCTTGAGGAGAGTCTGGGGCTGGTGGCTCCAGGGAGAGAGCTAAAGGAACAGCAGCCAGGATCCCTGTGCTGAGTCAGTCCCCATACTGCAGGAGCCATCTCTCTCAGGCAGAGACTCTCCAAGTGGCATCAGCCTGAGGGGAAACAATAGCCCCACCCACAAGAATTACTCTGCCCCACCCTGTGGAGCTTAAGCCAGGCTGCTGATTACAGCTTAATTAGTGTAACAACTGATCATCTTACTAACTGATTAGTTTAACAACTAAGAAAATACAAAGAAGCAGCCCAAAAAGAAAGACAAAGAAACACTTCCCAGGTGAAAGAATAAGAGAATTCTCCAGAAGAAGAACTAGATGAAATAGAGGCAAGCAATTTATCAGATAGAGAGTTTAGACTAATGACTATAAAGATACTCAAAAGCATGAAAAAATACTTAGAAACCAAAAAAATAAAAGGACCAGTCAGATATAAAGAATGCAATATCTGAAATAAATAATATATTGGAAAGAATAAACAGTAGGTTAGATGAAGCCAAGGACCAACTTAGTTATTTGGAAGAAATCACTAAGGTAGAAAAGAACACCCAGGCAGAGCAGCAAGATGAAAAAGGAATATAAAAAAAAAATGAAGAGAGCTTAAGAAACATTAGGACAACATGAAGCATAACAACATCTGCATCATGGGAATACCAGTAGTAGAAGAGAACGAGCAAGAGATCAAGAACCTATTTGAAGAAATAATGACTGAAAACTTCCCTAATCTGGTAAAGGAAAAAGACACACAGGTCCAGGAAGCTCAGAGAGTCCTAAACAAGTTGGACCAAAGAGGCCTACACTGAGACATATCATAATTAAAATGACAAGGCTTAAAAACAGTCCTAAAGACTATAAGAGAGAAGCAGGTTACCTACAAAGGAGCACCAATTAGATTGTTACCTAATTTCTTCACAGAAACATTTAAAGCCATAAGGGAGTGGCATGAAATATTCAAGCTGATGAAAAGCAGGGATTTACAACCAATGCTACTTTACCCAGCAAAGCTATCATTTAAAATGAAAGGAGAAATAAGGAGCTTCCCAGAGAAGAAAAAGCTAAAGGATTTTGTTAACACCAAAGCTAAAGGAGTTTGTTAACATTAAACCAGTTGACAAATGTTAAAGGGCTTGCTTTAAGAAGGAGGGGCGGGGAGGGGGAGGGGAGCAGAACCAGGAGATGGAGAGAAAGAAAAAAAGGAAAGCAGTCTAACAACAAAATGACACTACATGCATATCTGTCAATAATCACCTTAAATGTAAATGGCTTAAATGCTCCAACCAAAAGACATAGGATAAGAAATGGATAAGAAAACAAGACCCATGTATATGCTGCCCCCCAGAAATCCATCTCAGATCAAGAGATACACACAGAGTAAAAGTAAATGGATGGAAAAAGATATTTCACGCAAATGGAAATGAAAAAAAAGAGCTGGGGTACCAGTACTTACATCTGACAAAATAGACTTTAAAACCAAAGCTATAGTTAGAGACTAAGAAGGGCACTGCATAATCATAAAGGGAATAATCTAACAGGAGGATATAACCCTAGTAAACACTTATGCACCCAACATAAGAACAAAAGAATATATAAAACAAATTTTGATTGACATAAAGGGAGAGATCGACAGGAATACAGTCATAGCTAGGGATTTTAAAACACCATTGACTTCAATGGATAGGTCTTCCAGATAGAAAATCAACAAGGAGACAGTGGCCTTAAACAACGCACTAGATCAAATGAATTTAATTGATATCTTCAGAGCATTTCACCTCAAAGCAGCAGAATATACCTACTTTTCAAGTGCACTTGGACTGTTTTCTAGGATAGACTACATGCCAGGACACAAAACAAATGTCAATAAATTTAAGAATATTGAAATCATATCAAGCATCTTCTTGACCACAGTGTTATGAAACTAGAAATTAATCAAAAGAAGAACACTGAAAAACACACAAAGACATAGAAGCTAAATAACATGTTGTTAAACAATGAATGGGTCAACAATGAGATCAAGGAAGAAATCAAAAGATACATTGAAAAAACTGAAAATGAGGACACAAAAATCCAAAATCTGTGGAACAA